GATGGGAATGCCTCCCTCTCAGCACCTCACCCCGCCGCCGTCCTCCTCCACGGTGGGTGCCGCACCACCAGATGGCGAGCAGCAGCTTCACCCTTCCACCTTGGCCCCGCTGAGGCGTCGCTCGCCCCAGCAGAGGGTTTCCTGTTACCTGGGCGAGGGCGTGGACTCCCACCTGAGGCGCGAGTCCGGCCTGGGCCCCGAGTGTGACCCCGCAGGAGCGTTTGGCTCCAAGGCGTCCCTCAATCAGCGGCGCTACTCCCTGGAGCTTCAGCAGCTGGTCAGGCGGCAGCAGCTCCTCTCCCAGCCGCCGCCTCTCTCTGTCCCGCCGCCGTACCCTGCCGCCGGGTATGGGTCAGCTCCCAGAGGAGGCGGCGGCCTGGCAGAGCCCGGCTACCTCTCCGAGCCTGAGAGGCACAAACGGCTCTCCCTCCAGGAGGCTCTGTTTTACAAACGCCTCAGCACCGGCGGCGAGCTGTGGGAGAGCACGAGGCCGGCGTCCCTCTCTCATCCGCCGCACCGCACGTCTGATGTGACCGGAGGAGGCGTAGGAGGAGGTTTCTTCTACCCCCCAGGTCCGACTCTGAGCCCATGCTCTTCGTTCAGCCTCCAGGAGTCGGTGCTGGTCAGCCCGAGGTCCAGCTTCGCCTCCAGCACGGCCAGCGGCGGCGGCGGAGGGAGCCCCATGGGGAGCCGCTGCAGCAGCAACCGGACCAGCGGCATCAGCCTGGGCTACGACTCTCGCTACTCCGCCTCTGGAGGCCTCCCTCCACAGCAGCAGTCGCCCTCCATGCAGACGGGTGGCTCCGCGGTCGGTTACGGAGCGCCAGGCAGGGCCGGGGTCACCCCAGTGGAGGCCTGGACTCAGTACCTGGACGGCGGGATGCGTCCGGGGGCCCACGATAGCCGGCACTCCTACCCGCCCGCTGTTGGAAGTCCGGGAGCAGCGTGCTACCAGGCCGGGCCGGAGTGGTGGGACGAGCAGCAGGTGGGAGTGAGAGGCAAAGACGGAGGTGTGATGGGAGACAGGGCCCGGTACTCGGACCTGCCCGGCACGCGGTACCAGGAGGAGCTCACCCGACTCCTGCTGAGAGACGCGGCGCTGCAAGGTGACGGGCTCCTGGAGGGCCTGATGCTGAAGGAGTCCATGGCTCTGACGGCTCTTTCCAAGCCGAGCACGACTACGCTGGGGCCTTGCTCGGCTGGAGGGCCGGTCAAACCTCAGGAGGAGCCCGGAGTCGGAGCTGGGAGGGAGGCGGCGGAGAACCGGCAGGAGTTCTTTGGTGAGATCCCCGTTTTGTTTTTGTTTTTTTTAAAGCTAACACAAATTGTAAAATCATGTCAGCACACTCACGGTGTCTCCTCAGCGTGTTATTACTGTCCTCCTCACCGCCTGCTGTCAGATCACAGGTTTCCCTCTAAATGAAAGGGTTGTATGGATGGACGGACGGATTAATAGTTGAAAGAGTGCATGGATGGATGGTGCATTGGAACCTGTAGAGACACGCAGGGTTGCAAAGCATAAAGGAGAGCGAAGAAGGGAAGAAGAAGAAGAAGAAGAAGAAAAGGCGCTCGGGCTTCAAGAAACTGATCCAGACAAGTAGACGTGTTTGGCTGGAGAGAAGAAAGGAAAGAACATGCAGGGCAGATGTGTATAAACTCATTCAGACTCACACCTGTAGCCAAAACATCAGGCAGAGTCAGCTGATGTCTCAAGACGCTGCCAATTTGCCACAGCGCGGCGCACACAAGACGGGCTAATGCGGCGTTTCTACACGGCCATTAAACTGCAAAATTCTGCTGTAACACTCAGACGCAAATTACACGGTTGCGTATAAACACAGCTTCGACCAGTCACAGAAGATTAGGGCTCAGGATGTGTGTGTGTGTGTGTGTGTGTGTGATTGTAGAAGGGTAGGAGTGTGTTACGGTGGCTGGGTGAATATGTGTGTATTGTTTCTTTGTGGCAGGGTGTGTTTCCCCCGAGTGACTTCAGGCAACAGTAACGCAGCTTGTGTGAGTCATGTGTGTGTGTGAGTGCTGGTGTGTGTGTGTGTGTGTGTGTGTGTGTTGCGGGCTTGGCGTGTGCAGGGGCGGTGTGCTGTAGCCTGTTTTTCTGCTCAGGTATGTGTGCCCGGAGGGGACATACAATACTGTACTCCTCTCAGCCATTAGGGAGAAATGAGAAGCTCTGAGCCATGAAGACAGACGCTCCGAGCTCAGTCTTCACTCGTACACACACACCTGCGTTTAAGTAAAATGCTGATCGTTAAAAAAAGAAAGTAAAAATGAAAACTATTGGCCCTTAAATTCGAGAAACTACAGAAGTGGATTTAGAGCTGATCCTTAAAAAAACAAGTGAAAAACAGAAGTGTTTTGTCCCACAAGTTTAAAAATACTAGTGTGTACGCATACAGCTATTCAGGTAATGTCTTATTGTGCTTCTTAAATTAGTTTTAAGTACCAGAAGAAGGACTAAAGGACAGTTATTTTAAGTTAAATTGGTGCCAAACCAAATTTATTTGTGCATCGGTGTATCAGTGTGTCCAAAATGAGTTTTATTCCACAAAACTCGGTCCACAAGTCACTTAAACCCACTCGTTTCCAGCCTTTTTCTATATGCAGCAGCCTTAAAGCCTCGAGTTTGAGTCTTTGCTCTTTTTGGTTTTGGACTCGTGCCTGTTCCTAAATATCGAAGGGACTATCCAAGAGTGTAGGAATTCTTAAATTTGTGTGGCAACTCCCTCGGCCACATTAGAAAGGGAGAAAAAGAAAAACGCAGGCAGACCCTTTAAATAGATCACAGAAGAGCGCTGTAGCTCGGACCACCACACCACTTTTCCACTTTAGTGCCCTGACTCGTGCTGAACGTGTACTTAGACTAAACTAAACTGGTCCAGATGAGGAACGTTGTTGGTTAGTTGTAAAGGTTGATTGGCTTCAAGAGTGAGTGCTAGATTACTGCAAAACTAGAGCGCGCGTGCTGATTTACTTCTACTGGTCCTAACTTATATGTCAGCAGAGTCCTTATAGCTGCCACCAAACTAAAATAAACCCTAGAAAAGAACCTTAACGCCTTTTGTTTCATTGACTTTTTAAATGGAGAAACTGTCTGCCGGTAGAAGGAAGCAGCATTCGTGATCATTTTTGCGATCTACTAATTTTGTTGTCGTTTCCTGAGGTAGTTCAGGCTCGTAAAAGGCAGGGGGGAAAAGCGCAATCTTTTTTTTTTTTAATCTCCAAATTGCTCCAATTGAGGGGTTTAAAGTCAAATTTAAAGGGAAAGTTGAAAAACCTCCAGAAGAAAGCGAGTCATCTATTCTCTGGAACGACTGCCAAAAAAAAAAGTCAGATCCGGTGGAGTTTCCCTTTAATAACAGAGCTCCGACAGACACTGGAGTGGATGAGCAAACAGGCTGGCATGGGTAACTGGGTTTGAACTGTGTGAAAATCCCCTAGGTGGTGCGAACGAGAGGATTTACAAGTGTTGACACTTTGTGTGGAGTTGGATTTCAGACACATCCTCTTGGAATGCGTCGTAACGAAGTGCTAAGAGCCGCTGAGCGATTACTCTCTAACTAAATGCTCGTTTGTGTCCGTGTGTGCGTGTGTGCGTG